CTTCCGCCCATTTCTTTAAATCCTTTCCACCCCCCTTTCCCCCCCTCAATCCCCTTTCCCCCACCCTTACCCTTCCAATCTTTTCCCCCCTCCCGCCCCCCCCCCCCCCCCCCTCCTTCCACATAAACCCAGTACGAGCCAGTGATCCAGAAAGGCCACGAGAAGCTGCTCCACCACATCATCCTGTACTACTGCGAAGGCAGCCTCCCCGACTCCCGTGTGGGCTACGATTTCGCTTGCTACCATCACACACCAAGAGACTTGCACGGCTGTGAGCATGTCTTTGTGGCCTGGGCTCAGGCGCGGTTCGTCCATTGAGCGCGGTCGTGCAGTGCCGCCCAAAATGTTAATGGTCTATTACGTAAAACACCTACAATAACAAAATAAAAGACGCCAGAAACAAACACTAGCCAAATAGTATATCAAAATACGTTTCTCACTGGCGCCGTAACTGTCATTTCTGTGTCTATAGCGCCGTAAAACATCTACTATGCCATGCCAAAGTTCATGCGCTGTATCTATGCATAGCAGGATATTCAACAGTGGAAACCTGACCTATAAATCGCTCTTTGGGGTAACCCAAGCGATGACGACACTCGTAGCGAGTTTTGCGGTACATTAATATTAAGAAGACGGCACATCTCAATTGTGCTCCTGCCGAATAGTGCCGAAACATAGCCCACAGTAGGCAATCTGAAAATAAACGCGATAGACTGTGCACTATTCTATGCAAAAATTATGTCAACCCCGGAGCAATCCAGCGGAGTGCTCAAGTGAATTGTGATTGGTTCATTGTCTTGCCGCTATTTTAAGTGACTCTGTGACCGTAAACCTGAGGTAGGTGAACGTGACACACTTATGAGTTGTGCTTTTGAACGGTTTTGTAGTGGAGTGGTGAAAGGTATTACTTGAGTGTTCAGTTTTAAAGCAGGATGAATGAAATTGACGCTTAACTAACGAGCAGATTTAGTTCTAAAAGTCAAAGCCACAAGTAAAAAGAATGAAAATAGAATCATAAGGTTCTCCCTCACCTAACCAAAGATCCTAAAATTATACACCATCTCATTTACAATGCCCTTGACTATCGTCAACCTAAGATAGCTTAATTGTGCACGCCCACTTTTTAGACCCACGAGCCGCCCCTGCCTGGGCTATAGGAGGACAGGTAGGTTGTCTATCTATCTATCTATCTATCTATCTATCTATCTATCTATCTATCTATCTATCTATACACACACACACACATATATTATATATGTTTATCTAAAATGTATATCCATATGTCTATCTGTCTGTCTAAAATATCTATCTATCTATCTGTCTTTCTATCTATCGCCTGCTACCATCACCCTCCCAGGCAGGGACTTGCACGGCTGTGAGCATGTCTTTGTGACCTGGGCAATAGGAGGGCAGGTAGGTTGTCTATCTATCTATCTATCTATCTACCTATCTATCTATCTATCTATCTATCTATCTATCTATCTACCTATCTATCTACCTATCTATCTATCTGCTATCTATCTATCTATCTATCTATCTATCTATCTATCTATCTATCTATCTATCTATCGCCTGGTACCATCACACACCCAGAGACTTGAACGGCTGTGGGCATGTCTTTATGGCCCGGGCAATAGGAGGGCAGATAGGTTGTCGGGGTTTGTTTTTGGCTGGGTTTTTTTTTTTTGGGGGGGGCGCATGTGCAACGATGGGAAAGGCTGAGACATTTGTTGCTTTTGCTGTTGCTGTTGTTGTAGTTGTTGTTGTTGTTGTTGTTGTTGTTGTTGTTGTTGCTGCTGCTGCTGTTGTTTTTCAATGAGTTTTGATTGACAAACACATATTATCAATCTATCTATCTATCTATCTATCTATCTATCTATCTATCTATCTATCTATCTATCTATCTATCTATCTATCTATCTATTTATCTATCTAACTATCGCCTGCTACCATCACCCACCGAGGGACTTGCACGGATGTGGGCATCCCCCTCCCACATTTTCGGTTCTTTACACTCTCCCCCTCCCCCGGACCTTTACACACCACCCTCCAGGGCCCAGTACACCCCATCTCCCTCCGTCCCTCCCTCCATCCACACCCACACCCACACCCACAATCACGAACATGAGAATAAGTTACACTATCTATCTTCCCAATGTGACGGGCCTTTGCCGACCCTCTGATTGCTGGTCAGTCCATGGGCACGGCCGAAGACCCAGGCTACTTCAAGATGGAGACCCCCTCCTCCTCCCACCCCCACCCCGGTCCTTTATACTCCATATCTCCTCCTCCT